AGTGTCGGGTTGTTAGTGCCTCTGTTCGTTGTTTGTGTATGTAGATGCTTGTATGTTGATCTTGTGGTATGTGCTGTGATGTATGTGTTGGTATGCTGCCGTTCGTGTTCGAGCGTGTCACTTCCTCAAAAGCCGAAATGTCCTTCATTTTTGTAGTTTTCCGCATACTCACTAGGTGGCGCAAGCAGCCGCCCAATTTTATTTTAGCTTTGTTTGTACGTAGTCCATTTATGTATAAGGAACCACACCACATAGCTACAGTCTAGTAGAAAAGTAACCGCGTGTTTAAATGGCGCATAGCGCCGGCGTTCAGTTCGTCTTCATTCGCTGGCCGTTACGGTAGCCGATTCGTACCCGGAAAGCCGCAAAATTTGCGTACACACGAGATATGAGTGGATACGTCGAAACGTCGCGTACAACTTTGCTTGCGGTAAAGAGGTGAGCGGGACGTCGGTAACGCCGGTCGGGTAGGGTCGGTGTCGGAGCTATTCGTCGTCGCTCGCGGCAAACGGGCTTTTTCAATAAAGTTAAGTGTCTGTGGTCGCGAAAAGATAACTGCTGTGGAAATTACCCGGCGTCGGTGACAATGCAACCAGCTTGAGGCCTCGGCGATCGGCTGAACCGCCACGCGAACGAGACCTGCTCGATGGGGAAGCACGCTGCTGGATGCAGTCGATGGTCGCTCCCACTGTCGCGTAATCGCCGTAATGGATACGGCGTCGGCGCTTGGGGGTGAATGCTTGCGGTAGTTCAGCACGTATGGACTATTACGAACGAACACGTGCAAACTACGCTTTCGCTGCGGCGAAAAGCCGTGTAAAGCGCTGGGCCTCGCTCGTAGAACCCGTCTTGCGTCAAACGGCCGCCATTGTAAAAAAACACCCCTGGACGTATGATCGCAGAACGAAGCACACGTTCAAAGATGTTCATTTTACACGAGACCTCGGGTGCAAACGAAATACACCGAGCCTCGCGTGTAAAACGAACACCATTTGGGGAGTCCGCCCTGGGACAACGGTTTACACGTCCAGGGGTGTACTTTTTCGCTGTGTGTGTAGGCCCCACGTTGGGCGCCAAATAATGCTGTGGGGATCTGTCCCACCGCTCGGCCGGAAGAAAGACACGCAAGTCAGGACACAGCAAAAACACACCTTTACCTCGTTCAGGCCAGGCTTCGAGTGCCTGCCGCCGAGCCCTCGTGAGCCACGCACGCGATCGTTCGAGCTCGCGCCCCGTGACCTTCGCACGCTCCTGTCGGTCACCGCAGCGCTACTACACACCCCGCATGTCGCTTGCCACAATATATATATATATATATATATATATTGTTAGGGTGATGCTGTCGGCAGCAGAAAGGACAGTGCAGTACACGATGATAGAACACACAAAGGATTTAGGGAGGACGAGCCGGGCCCGTGGGGCCTGGCGCGAGATGGTCGTGCGCGCCACTGCCCCGTCGTCGTCTTCATCTTCCTGACAATATATATATGTATATATACTGTAAAACGTACATCGTAAACCATAGTTCACGGTATATGTGGCTACCAGGAACCCCTTCTATGATTTTATGCACTGTAATTTATTTTGTTATTTTGAGGAACTACTATTTAACTTTTAATACTCCCACTGCACGTGGTCACTAAGACTTCGGATGGAATGATTTTTTCTTGGTTATTGCATATGCTTTAATATTGTTGTGCTGCAGTCTCTGATTATTTCTGTTTGGCATGTTTTATGATGTCTGTGATATAGTGTTATTGCGCTTGTTTAATGCACTGTTACTCATTTTAGGCACATGTTTATTATAAATGACAAGTTGTTTCATTCTCTGCAATAAGTTCTTCTAACAATAATGCCCTCGTGACGATAAAGGTACAGGGTAAATATATAAATAAATAAAATAAACTACCACACTTTGTGACAACATTTTGATTCAGTTAATATATACGCGACTTTGATAAACAAAGGGTTGTTGAGTCATACAAACACGACGTTTTGTATATTAATCAATCAATTGTGTTATGTGTCAAGGAAAAACCATTTGGTCTTGGTACTGGCACACCGGACATTTGAACACTGTGGGAAGCCGAGGAGGACGACGGCGCGTGAGGGGGGCAGGAGCGGTTGCCGGTGGCCCGGCGCTCGTGAGAGGACAGCGCCACGAGAGTTCCAGCAAGGCACGGGCAAGGAACGGTCAAGGACAGCGCTGACACCCGGACGACGACTGGCGACAGCAAGGCCCACAACCAAGGCACCCGAGAACAGTAAAACGTTTTGAGCATATCCTTGCACGTGTGACTTCTTGGGAGAGCGGACCAGGCAGGGACCGATTGGGCAGCAGTTTAGTAGAGCCATCCACACAAATGGCGCATCCAACGTGGGGCCCGATTGGTCTGCTGCTTGTTCTGTTCGTCTCGGGGAGTCACACAGATCTATTGAGCGTTCATCGTTGTGTAGAAATATAGACGCTAATGATGGTCCCCAAGACGAGGTCGACCCCCAATAGGGACGAGGATGACTCGTCTGGGAGCGGAACTTAGTAGCCGTCTTACGCTGCGGGGGCCGGAGAAGGCTCTACTAAGTGAGCATCTCCACATGCTGGGATTTTACCACCAGCTCCAGCTGGAGGCGCGGCTGACATCAGCGAGTTTATGGGCGCCATGACGGCGATGATGGAGACGTTCTCGCGACAAATCGCGACGGCTCCAGGAGCCGCGAGTGCCGCGCCTACGTCTCTGCCCCGACCGCGATTGTCCGTAGTGACGCCGACCTATGCGGGATATTCCGACGGAAAATAGGTCCACGATTTCTTACAGGACTTGGATGCGTATGTAGCCGCGTGCCAATCGCGTTAACGGGCGACGCGTCGCGTTGGACACGGTTGCAACGACCGTTTCTATCGATGGCGGACTTCAGGACGCTGTTTAGGAAGGAATTTTTGCACCCTGATTATGAGATGCGCATTAGGGACGAACTAGCTAATCGCACTTAGCACCCCGACGGGAGCCTCGTGGAGTACAATCGCGCGCTCCAGGAGCTTTACTCGAAGGCCGAACCATCCTTGTCTGACGCAGAGAAGGTAGCTAGAGCGATACGGCAATGTCACCCTAGATTGAAAACCTATCTACGCGGACGGGATTTTGCGGATCTGGAGGCACTTGCCAGAAAGGCGCGAACGGTCCCAGCAGGCTTGCTTGCTGAGCTGCAGTACAACCCCCCCCCCCCCCCCCCCCCCCCCCCCCGAGGGCCGAGGAGTCCCTAGAGCCAAGATGCGCGTGGGCAGAACGTGCCGCAGACACTCGCATCGATTCGCGCAAGGCGTATACAGCCGTTGCGGAGCGCGGTCACGGGGTAGCCATAACGCCCGGGCTTTGGACCTCTCCGCTTACGAGCAAAGGCGCAGGGCAGCCAACGCAAACTCCGCCCGAGCGCAGACCCGAAGAGGTTTCCCAGCGGCTAACCACTGCGGAGGTGCGACTGCTCACGACAGTCGCTGGAATCATGACTCACCGCGGTTTGCCACAGATGAAGTGTCGCTTGTGGGTAACGATGGACAGGTTCCGCGTAACGAGCGGCCACAAGTCAGGTGTTACAACTGTCACCGTCTTGGGCACATCAGGCGGCACTGCACGTGGGTAGCGTCTGGTTCTCAGGGTTCCCAGGAGAACACCAGAGGCCGGCGCCACTAATCCTGTCCTCTGAGTCGAGCTTGTCGGCCGCTGCCGAGGCCCAGTATCGGTGTGCCGACAGGGCGGAAATTGTGTCCGGTGACCGCGTGGCGATGGCCCCGTCGGCGTGTCGGGCTCAGAGCACGACATTTGAGAAGGGCCCGTACGTGCGGGTAGAGATCGGTGGTAGGGAATATTCGGCACTAATTGATACAGGTTCTACTCTTTCGCTAATTGGTTATAATGTGTACGAGGACTGCCGTGACCGGAACCTTTGCGCGCGGGAACTTGTAACTCCGCTGCGTTTAGCGACAGGATTGGCCGAAGCGCAAGGGGCGATGCGCCTTCACCTTGGCCTTGACGGCAGACGAAGGAGGAAACGTTTCGTTTACTTGCCCGGTATGTCAATTCCTGTTATTTTGGGGCAGGACTGCGTCTGTCTTGAGGACATAATCCTGGACTTGAGGAACAACTGGTATCGTTATAGTGTGTTTTCCCCTCTTATTCCCTTTGTTGTTCTATCATCTCTGGTGCGGGGAATGGAACGTTCGCTCGCAGCGTCACATCAGGAGCAGGTATTAGCTGCGCGAGTCGTGCCCGGGAACGTCGAAATGATAATTGCGTCTTTCGATGGGCCCGCCAACCAACGGCGGATGCTACCGAACGCCTTGTCCCAACACGCAGCTATGTTTACCAAGATACCGGGGCTTACGACTGTTTTACAACATACATAGTAAACTTATTTACACCCTTAAGGGTGTTTCTGTGTGTCTATAACTCACACCCCTACACCCTCACAAAAAGGTGCAAAGTAAACTTTTTACACCCTTAAGGGTGGTTTTGAGTGTCTATAACTCACACCCCTACACCCTCACAAAAAGGTGTGTTGGACTCTTGGGCACCTTTTTGAGGGGTCTTCTTGTCATCATTACACCCTTGCACCCTCAGAAACACGAGTAAGGGTGTAAGGGTGTCACATGCACATTACAGGCACCACACATGCATGCACTGAGAAAAAAAAGTCACATTAACTTGGCTGTATACAGCCAGTTAGTCTGGCTTTTTTCTCAGTGCATGTGCGCTGGTTATGATGTGCATGGGCTGTATACAGCCAAGTTAATCTGACTACATGTTCATACCTTTAGAGACATTCCATAACATCCAATGTCTGGCCGTATGATGTTTATGTTACTTGTAACGTTTACAGTGCCACAATATTAAAACATGTTTGTGCTGCTGAAAACCTTCGAAAACACTTTATGTATTCCTGCTTAACTAAGTAATTGCCTCATGCATGCATCCACTAATGAATAAAGACAAAAAAGGTGTATATGAAAGTTGAATACTCTTTTAATTTGTGCGTCTTGCATATACAACCTTTCAGTATGTTAAAACTCCCAGCGTCGAGTGTTTGTAGCTTATTACGCGTAGCTTCCTCGGCGTATACAAGCACGAGCTCATTCAATGTCCATGCTCCCTAAAGAGCATGGTGTGCGCGCTCGCGCCAGAGTGACAATATAGGGTGGATGATTTTAATGCGTACAGATGTAAAAAGGATGACCAGTATACACGAGTAACATCTTCACTTTATGTGTATCGGGCTCAACGGACATCAGATCGCATGATAATTAATAACCTGTAGACTAATTAACTTAAACTTTCGGGGTTTCACTTAACCATTTTATGCGTTTTATATTCATTGCAGCGTTGAGAGCAAGTAAAGTTAGAGACTAACCTAATCTGAAGATTTTGAATGAATGCAAAGTGCTTTGCAATATCAAGAGATCAGTTTCCGCGTTTTTGACACGCAATTCCGAAGCTATAAACTAAAACGCCACAAGCCCTCTAGATTGTGCATAGAAATGTGACATACACTTTTCTGGTACCCTGTTACCCTCTCGGCATTATGTCATCGGCATATCCACCAAAGATGCGCTGGCCACTTAAATACGAAGAAACCGAAACGACTATGTCACCCCTCATAGGCTTCATTGAGGACAGAGCTTTCTTACTGTGTATTTACTTTTAGAATCGCGCGACAAAATCAGAAAACTGATCTATTAATATATCAAAACTCTTGCCTTTATGCGAATTGTTTAAATTGATTTTGGCTCTGACATTGACTGCCGTTAAAACCTGCAGCTGCAATATGACCTACGAAAGTGTTAAATTAATTTGCCTGTTTAGGTTAATTAGCCCACTGATCAAGACTGTAATCTTCTAATACAATGTCTGCCGAGCGCGATACCCGAGCAGCTTGGAGTATACCAGGTATTTCAGCGAAGACTGAAAAAATTCCTAAAATGTGTGTATTCGAAGTACAAAGATCATATTCTCGGGACTGCATTACTCGTGGTGGCGGACGTCAGAAATGCGCGATACCTAACAAATTAGGTTGTTAATTATTAAAAAAAAACTAATTAACATTTTCATTAGTAAAAAGACACATGGTTCCAACCAGAAACTTGCGGAGCGTCATCAGAAAGCACAAAATTCGTAATTTTCAGAAAGGCTTTGAACGCGTGAAAAGCGTAGTGGTGCGCTGAAGTTACCCCTCGTGCAGCAGATACACAGATAGCGGTCTGATAAGGCGCCCGAGCGATTCTTCCGTCTCTTCTCAGAGCCCTAGCCTTGTATCTGTTCCACGAGTGGTAACTTTAGCACACTACGCTTCCTACGTCCTGAATATTTCTGAAAATTACTGATTAAGTGGTTTTCGATGACGCTCAGCAAGGTTCTAGTTCGAGCCATATGTTTATTTTCACTTAATATAAAGTTAATTAGTTATATGTAATGAAGTACCGCACTAACTAGTAAGTATCGCACATTTTCTGACGTCTGCCACCAAGAGTAATGCTGTCCCGAGAAAAATTACTTTTACCTTGATCACACTAATTTTAGGAATTTTTGTCAGTCTTTGCTGAAACACCCGTTATATGTACCGGTTACCTAATCTTTAAAGGCCCAGGAGCGTTGGGCGATGCTCCTGGGCCTTGAAATCGAAACCCCTTAAAATAGGTGTTCCAAAACACAAGAAATATTAAATGCTTTTCTGTTGCACTTTGAATTAAACATCCACTGGGCGGTCATGATTGCTGTGGTCCCTTCCACTACATCTATGACGCGCAACAGTCGACTTTTCTCGATGTAGAGGAAGAGCGCTTCGGCCTCTTTGAAACTCGGGCCCGAAAATACGAAGCAAGGGGTAAGTGGTTTCTTCGCCTCCTAAAAAAAAACGAAACACAGCATTCTAGATATACACTTCGCAGTCACCATGGTGTACACCTGTATATCTATTTATAAAGGCAGAATTTTCTAGCTGACTCAAGTTCTTTCGTTATGTGATCAACACACGTCGGCCACAAAAAGGAGCTCTGACTAGTACTCAATACTTAAATATCGGCTGTTATTTTCTGCTGAGATGAGTGAATGCTTTCTGTTTGCTTTCATATAGGTATGTTTGTTGAAAAACAATTGCAGTTGTAATATGATGAAGTATCTATGCTGAAATACCAATTATAAAAATATATTCGCATTTTAAAATATTATTTTGGTTCACAGTAAATGACTGTTAGACATATGATTTCCTGTTAGAAATATTTCATTTATAAGCCTGTAGGTTTCTTTTTTGTTGCAAAAACTGTGAGATATTCTTGATGATGGTAAAAATGGCCTTTGCATGGGGTGCCACTAGACCTACCAATGTCAAAAAGGATTTTCAGTAGTTACACCACAATCAAGCAACATTAAAGTGAGTTTTTTTTTTCCTTTTTTTATGTTATCATGGGAAGTCTAGGAAACTGGAAACTGCATGGGGGCCTTACACATATTTACAATTTTGTTCTAATGACCGAAGTACATTACCACTTATATATAATTTTGTGCAACGCATACAATGTTCTAGAATAAGGGCTTTTAAGTGAAAGCTTACCGAAGGCAAAGACATCATGTGAGTTGCACTATAGGCTGCTTAAGTACGCTTGCCAGGAGTTCCAGGGCACGTACGGCCTGAACGTCTGCAACAGAAACGCATAGTAAAACTGAGCCACATGTTACTCGTGCTAAATTAGAAACAAATACATTGCACGTCTTCATTCGAAACACGATAATGAAGGAGAGCAAGGTTTTAAAAAGCCCATGGCATGCAAGTGAAACCGACGGATTCATCATTATTGTAAGAGTGCATTTTTTAATGAATGACCTTAAAAATAAGACTTCTTTTCCTCAAACATTCCTAAAGACAGTTGCAGGCGTGGCATCCAGCTGGTGCCCCATGAGTGCAAGCGCATCCAGGGTGTGAGTGAAAGTAACTGAGACAGGCATCTAATTGCAAAACCTGCTCACATGTACAGACATGGTGGTGACTAAGTGCCTTGCTTGCAACTATTTATGGGGAATCACTTCCTTCGCTTTGACTAATGTACGTATAGGTTGAGAAAGGTACAAATTCTTACATCTGCTCTAAAAGATAAACAAATGTGTTCGACGAAGACAGGCAGTGCTGTCCTTCAGAAATGACAATCTGTAAAACACTGAGCAAGCGTCCATTTATTATTCGGTGAATTTCTTGAACAGGAGGATATGCATTTGTTAGTACATGACATGGCGGGCTTCAACCACTTTGCAGGGACGTGTTTGGAAAAGCTGATAACACAAAGGAGCGTCTCATGTACTTAGCTTCGAAACATTTCAGATCTAGCTGGTGGGCGCTTATTGTAAAATGAATGCATGCTTGATGCTCCATGGTACGTTTAAGATTCAAGAACTTAACAAGGTGACTTCGATATTATACATTTTTGTAAACAAACTATACCTTCCAGGTACGCTTCATCCAAACATTTATATCCTGGATAAATTATTGTGCCAAAATATGGAATATTTTTAAATTAAGTGAACTCTTCTTTCTGTCCTCTGAGCTTTTTCTTTTTTTTAAATTGAAGTACTTACATTTACACTTAGCTTGCACCATTCGAGAAATGCGTGTGTAGCAGCACCTGTGATGTAGGTCAATGGACATTGCTCGCAGACTGTTATAAAACATTGCTTGGTCTTAGTTATTTTGAATCAGCAGTGAAATTAACTGGATAAATAGAAACCAGAACAAGCATGTCGAATGACTTTAACGGAAGAGGTACCTTCATTCAAAACTTTCCCTTGGAATAAATTTAAGTCCTGAATCCAGGAAAGCATTTCCCGTGACAGAATTATCCTGCACTATTCGAAAATCTTTAAACACATGCCTGCTCTTTGCACACAACCTCCTATTTTATGTAAAAAAAAAAAAACTGCTTAGCACTTCCATCTGTGTCTAAGGGAACGATTAGTCCGCAATGCACATAAAAAAGTTATATTAAATGCAACCATTTGTACCGTAGCACTGCTGTGTTTTGTGTGACTATTCAGATTAAATCGATAGCCCACTATTTCATTTAAACAATAATATGTAAATTAAGCTGCACCCATTCAATTTGCACAGTAATTTACACTATACAAGCTAACGGTGAAATAGGCAACATTTTAAAAAAGTGCACAATAAAAACTGATGAGAAAAACTGTGTATTGAAAATAGTACCCCAACAGATGGTGCGTTCTACAAAAACACACATCTGTTAACCTTAAGAGAAAAGAAATCCAATAGAGAAGGCACATCGTGGCAACACTAATCTGAACATCTGCGCATTTTTAAACATACACGGTAACATACCATCCTTCTGTTGGTATATGTTATGCTCAAAGCGGTATAGTACTGCTTTGAGCAGATCATACGTATGCCCTTTATTCCTATACACGAATCATCACTTACGTTTCTTGCGTCTTGCACCGGTTCCTGGCGGGTCAATTTCAAGTAAAGGCTTCAGGTCTTTTTTGGAGCCCCCTTGGTCTCTTCTTAGAGCAAGTTTCACAATCTTATGGAACGCCGCCTCGACCGCTTCATTCCCATCTTTCTTCAGAAGTTGCTTGAAATCCTCAAACAACTGAAACATTGTGAGCGTTTGAATAAAACCCATGCATTTGTAAGAACAGTGAAATTCTTAATGTTTTTTTCACCTCGTTATTAAATATCTTTTATTAGCCTACTAACACATTTGAAGCATTCTGTCGTGTCGCACAACTACTGTAGAATCCTTTACTTCGTGCCCTCAATTTTTTTACAAATGCGATGACAGACATAATCATGACCACTAACCTATGAGTATAAAAGTTGGAATTTGAAAATTAGACTGAAGACATGCATGTACCTTCAAATTACGCAAATTATTGGCTTCGTGAATATTTCGGCAATATGGAACTTGCGAACGTTAAAGAGATACTGCAACGAAATTTCGGCGCGTATTTTATGGTCTATATGTGTTCAAAGGAGCAGTATCACATCGAACACACCAATATCTTGTTAAAAAAGTCACGAAAAGGAAATTTAAAACGAATTAAACGATTTGCAAACAGCACCTGGTGGACGTCGCTAACGCCTCGTTTGTAATGCCCGTCCAGGATCCTTGACAGCTAGTGACGGTGAGTGTCTCGCCTCCGGCCACGACGAGAGAAGAGGTGAAGGAAGAACTCCCGTCTTCCCGAGAATTACTTTTGTGTGTTCCAGATGTAGCTATTGTCCCCCTACAAGATTATAAAAGATTAACCCGTCACTCAAAATTCGTACAAAAGCAGCCGCTTCGGTGGCGGGGATGACTAGGCCATCCCCTCGACGTCAGCCTCGCCGCAGCTTTGCTTGTCCCGAGACGACCTATACGTCACGATTGCGTCGGATGTCACATGCTCTAAGCTGAGCCTTCTCCGAGCGCTTGCTAGAGTGGGCCGTTTATAACAAAAATACAGCCACCGGGCTCAAAATACAAATGTGCAATTGTCATTTACGGATATTGTGGATCATATTGAACTTATTTTTGAACACGACGGATATATTTCAAATTTCGTTGAAGTATCCCTTTAAAGGTTGCACTGTACTGCTGAAGTAGATCGCTGATAAATATAGTGCAGCTCCGAAATGTAAAAATGATCAACCTTGGTTTAGGCTAGTTACTTAAGGTAATATTAAAGGCAGAAACGTCATAATTAAAATGGTGTTTGACTGAACAAATTATGCAAAACATTAATTCTGAGAAGTAATTTCGTAGTATGCCATAAACCGTTAAGCGACAGCTTGAGCCCATATTAACCTAAAAGGAATTTGCTGAAGCACTTTGTGCCCCTGATTTAAAGTTTTCACAAATGTTTTATGAACAAAAAGATAGGACGCAAACTAGCTGGTGATGGTTGAACATAACTTAGGACAAAACTGAGAGACTGGGGAAAAAAGGACGACACAACACACAGCCCTTGAGTATTGTCATCCTTGTTGTTTTTTACAGCTTTGGGGTTAAATTTTACAGTATGTTATGTATGTTAAATTGTTTCAGTGGAAAAAAAATGTCTATGTTCTTCAGAGAACAAGTTCGTAAAATTACAGCTTCTTACAGACAGAGCAGCTTTGTGTAAGCTGGTTCTCCTAAATAAAGCCCGTCTACAAATTGCGTACAAAAGAAACTACTCACCCATTGAATGTCCCTGAGATATGGATACTTGTCGATAGCTTCAGCAATGGATAACTTGCACAAGTCTTTGACCCTTGCGGAATACGTCAACTCAGGCCTGCAGCACATTTGTTGCCTGTCGGGGTTCGATTTGGTCCCCCCGTGACTAACCAGGCCTCATGCTGTGTGAGACTGTATTCGTCTTCTCCACTGGGAGCCAAGCCTTGGGACTGCATAAGGATTAAACAAGGACGATTATTGTAATTTTATATAAAAAAACACATGTGCGTTACACCGAGCTCTGAATCACCGACCAGTGTTGCGCCAACTTTGCCCCGCTATAACTCCATTGATGCAGCGTCGACAGCCGCCCTTGGTTGTTTCCCACGGCTGCCGAACTTTGGTCGGTTTGCGTACACACGGTCAGTCTCCAGCTTCCGTCTCTCATTTTTGAACTTTTGGCGGATGAGCATGACCCATGAATTCTAGAGTATTAAGATTTATTGATTTATTTATTCAAAATATCTGAAAGGCCTGTCCGGCATTAAATCATCCATAAACTTTACAATGCAGGTAATACTGTAAAAAAAACTAAAAAAGTGCCAATAGCAAATGATTTTTTATTCAAATTGTGAAGTTTACTTTCACCAATATTAGCGATAGCCCAGTGCAGCAGCTATTTAATTTTCTTCCGAATTTTTTTTAAATTCCAATAACATTTGCATACAATGAATAAACAATTCGCATAGAGCAGTCAACACACTAAATAAATTTACAAGACCCAATGCCCGTTAGTCAGCCATTTGAGCTTTCGAACAATCCTAACAGCCACATTTACAGCAGATAAACTCGGTCCATAGCAAAAAGAAAAAGAGGCAAGATCAGCTATATTCAATGCAAAACACCTTGAACAATGTTTACTACTCAGTCATTGTAACAAATGCATTCCTTTACTTCGGTTAGTGCTCTAAACTGGTCTAGATCTTCTAATTAATTTTTTATACTTCATAGCAATCACAGTAGCAAAAGAAAGGCCCAGCTACTTGTTCGACTTTTTTTATTTGTTTTCCTATTATGTAACATTATAAAAGCTGAAAACGCGAGACTGGCACATAATCACGACTCCGCAAAACATTACGAAGTATGTACAGTTCGCCATACCTACTGCAAGGTAACATTTGCCCCGCACATTAAATCAAGAAACACCGTGCCGAGAAACCCATATCGTACCAAGAAACACCATATCAAGAAACACAAAATCTTATGTTCGAACTAAAATTATAGAAATTATATGGCTTGAAGCGAAGGGCTAATAATTGGGCTAGTCAGTAATTCATCGGATGAGGTCGAGAGGGACAAATACACTTTGCTGTGTTTCTGTCCCACTCTTGTCCTCTTTTTTGTGCCGAATTTGCTGTCAAGCAAAGACAACTTAAGAACTGGTGCTGAGCACATTAACCAAATCGTTAAACAGCGACGACGCGAAAGCGACATACAGATTCGGATGGATGCTTAAACTTATGACGCAGAAAAAAAAAAAAGAAATCTCCGTTTCAGCTTTTCACCGATGAAGTGATTATGCTTCCAGACTGCTTAGTTTCGACAGTTCGCGAGAAAAAAGGCGCCGGCGTAAAAGCGAAAAAGAAAACAGGAGCACTTTCGTCACTCCAAAGTAGTTTTAGCGGTTATGGCTTGATAGAGAAAACCGAAGCCAGCCAGCCGGTATATAACACTCGCAGTCGCTACCACCACATTTAAGCGTTAAACAAGTCGAATACTGTGTAAGCGGTATCAATATTCAGTTCCTGGATACCTGGACACATAAAGAATGTTCTACAAGCATGCTGCATAAATATTCTCACCTTTAATTGCGTCCACACGTGGAAGTGTCTCCGGTAGCAGTTGCGGCGATTCCAGCAATAACCGAAAGCAGCCATCTTTAATAAGAACGGGGATTGGCTACGACTTACGCCTGCCCTTTCTAAAAAGATTTGCTGTAGTTTCGGTTTCGATATCTTGGGTGGGGGCTCGTTTGCATTTTTCTTGCTTCGCGTTTCAACAAATTTGTTTTTAATATGTTGTTTTAAGTTAAAGCTTAGTTAAACCCTATTGGAAAAACGTACAAGAAACAAACCTGCTGCTTGTACAGTTCTGGTATGACACCAACGTAATTTCTTTGTGTTACGCATGCAGCTAGTTTGGTTTGGCGTTCTGCATAACTGGAGATACCGGCACCGCTATGGCTCCGGGTCTGTCTATACTGGCAGCCACTCTGCTTGCCGATATGATTCGGTGTGGCTGGTATGATTTTGCGTCCGATGACGTAGGCGACTGCCGTCGTTCCAACAAAACGCTTATACCACGGGACCACCGGTATAACCAAATCATACATGCAGAAAGACGACCGCCATCTTCCAACGAAAACGTCCATCGTTCACCACCGCTATCGTTACATACACCATACATGTCGAAAAAGAACATAAGCCACGTTTACACGAATGCGACTTAGTCGTATTGAATCCAGTTGCTGCATTCAATATGCGGTCATGTAAACGGCATAATGCGCAAAGCGCATCGCATTTTGGAACGGGGAGGATTATCGGAAGGCGCTCGCTGCGGGAGCGAGTGAACAGCTGAGAACATGGCGGCGGCCAACCTCGTCGGCGGCGCGGAGAGCGGTCCCGCAATTTTTTTCCCGAGAAGCAAGCTTTTATTGCGATCATAAGTAAGCGGAATATAGCGGAGCTGCTCGGTGAGGGCGGCCCCGTCCAAACCTTTGCGAAGTACGACTTGCGCGTCCAAAGGGGTCACAAAGGCTTCGGTGCAAGCACGAATGACACCGAGAGCTCCGAGCACTGTAGAGCACTGCATGGTAGCGCAGAACGAGCAGCTCCTACCTCGGTGCAGTTCCTGGCTCCGCAAGAGCCTCTCGGACTCGGGGTCCAGTTGGTCTGGTCGCGATCGGCGAGGTCTAGCGCGGCGAAACGCGGAGGCTTCCTCAAAGCGTGCACACACACGTCGCCTCTCGTTCAGAATGAACCGGCGGCCCGGCCTGGAGTCCTAAACGCCTTCCGTCTCCCGACTTCTTCCACAGCACCGAAGACAGCGGGCACCATCTTTACGTTCACTGAATGCGTCGAAAGGCCTCCACGTGCGATGCAGCAGAAAACGTGGTGCGGCTGGTGCCGGAACGGAACTGCATAACTTCGAGCTTTGAGTCAACGTGCACGGCAACAAACCGATCGTGACACCAAGCCGCGGATACCTCATCGCCGGTCGACAGCGGCAAACGGCCCGTTGCTCGTATCGTGGGCCGTGACTCGTACTCGGCCAACTTGGCGTCTTTTCGTGGCCCCTCGCGTCGTCGCAACCAGCCACAAACCCGACAAACCCACCAGCCCGAAACCGTAGCGACCGTAGCCTGCGTTGGATAAAAGCGAAACCGAAACTTACAGCTTCCGCCCAGTGGCTTCCGTTTTCTAGCTTCGCGGCTTCCACTTCCGGTCGTCGCGGAGATGGCGAAGATAGAGCGGTGTGGGGGTTCGTTGGCTCGTTTACGGTTACGGGACAGATGTTTTGCGGTCCGTTTCTACTGCGTCTCTGGCTCTCAACTGGACGGCACCTCTCATAGTTCAACCAGGCGTGGTCAGCCTGCGTCAGGCCGGCTCGACTCGTCCGATCGCCGGACCCCAGGCGACTTCCAAGTACGGCCGTTAGGCCTAGGATCCGTGAAACGGTAAGCGAATCTCGTCCCGTTTTCGTTCTACTTTTAAATTATGTTAGGTGCGCTACAGTATAAGCATGCGTGCCAAGTGTTCGTGACAATTTTGAACTAGAATAATTGTGCTTCATTGCGGTCATTTGCCGAAAATGTAAATCGAGCAATGAACGAGGAGCCATGCTTGAAAACGGTGTATGTACGATGTTAACTTCTACCTGGGCGGCTAAGAAAAAAAAAAGACTGGTTACGGTTGGAAGCGAGGCTGGTCCCAATGCAATGGTAAGCACTTAGAGCGCCTTTTTGAACGGCATGTTAGCAATATAGCGATCAACGAGACGAGCGACGGCGAGAAGCTACGAGAGCCGGCGCCGAGCGCCGAAGATTTCTCACTCTCGCTCCTTGCGCCGCTCGGTTCTTGGGCTTCTAGAAAACGTCGCTCATCGCCTCGGTCGCTCGCACCAATCGCTTTCATAATGTGTGTCTCGTCGCGCGGCTGACTGCCGTGTTTATTCAATATAAATCGACCTTTTTTTTTTTTTTTTCTTCTTCTTTTTTTTTTCGGAAATTGTGACTAAAGAATTTCGACACCTACATTCGCGACCAAATTTTGCGACCCTACCGGAGGCATGAAGCTATCGAGTCACCGAGCCGGCGTTGCCGTAGAGCCGCGCCGCTTCTTGTTTCAAAAAGCTTTTGGTTGCCGAAATGGCTCGCCGCCCGCGGTGGCCGGTCGGGCGTCGGATTTCGACATCGCGCCTCTAGCGTTCCCCTTGCTGGGCAACGGGTAAGGAGAGGAACGCGATGCGCCATGCACTTTACCCTCCATCCTCGCAAACGCGCACAAAAACAAAAAGTTATTTTTGTTAGTTGCTTGAGGCGGCTCGGCTCGCGTGTTGCTCATGGCGACATGGCGGCTTTGCTTGCGTCTTTGTAGTTTGTGTTCCGTCGCTTCGCACCTTTTTTCGTTTCTTGTCGTCATTTTACAACGGTGTCAGTGAAGTATTGCTGCGAATTTGCGAGGATGTCTACCCAGCTGACGAAGCCTGGGACGATGATAACATGTCCAGAAGTTCTGACGGTGATGAAGTGTTTGGCATCGCCCCGTGATTTAGCTGAGAGTGATGCAAATAAAGGTTTTTTTTCTTCCTTTTGCCCAAAATTTCCCCTGTTCTTAAAAATAAAAAAAAAAGATCGACCTATATTTTAATTATTTTTTTTTTGTTCTGGGTGGATCCAATAAATAGGGTTCGACCTATTTTCGAGTAAATACGGTAACTTCAATTTTTATTTTGGGTTACGTCGGACGCAACTCGAATGCTTGACAGTTACGTTGGGCGTAACTTTAATTTTTATTTCGGGTTCCGTCGGACGTAACGTTAGACACTCCGTTACACTTAAGGAAAATAGGGGCTGCTGGTTCATCATATAAAGTTATAAACCAACCATTTGTGTTTAATTAAAATGCATCACTGACCTCAAAAAAAAAATACTGCTATCCTAGAGTTTATGCTATAGGAATGTAGCGCTTCAGATAAATTTGTTAATTTTTACTTTTAGTCCCTGCCCCCTCCAGATACAACATCTGGCCTAAAGCAGTGTTCCGGATCTCCTTCCAAGACCTCAGGCGGGTCGTCATTCAATCCATGAGTCGGCGGCGTCTCATGGGCGTGTTGCTGGTGCTTACTGGATGGTGCTACCGAGGGAAAAGTGGTCGTGCTCGGGCAAGGCAAGTATGGCCGCCGTAATTATAGATATTGTTTTTACCTTTGCTCGAATCCACTTTTAAGAAATGCACAGTTCGCATGTGTGCATCTCTCAATGTTTCCACAGTCGGCTGTTTTTTTGTTTTTTTTTGAGTGCTCTAATTTTGTCAGCGCTGGTTTCTCTAGATCATGCAAATGGGATGCAACACTAAACCACATATGCTCTCGCAACAAACAGTGCTGTGCAGAAGCACAGTGGAATTTACTCTAGCTTTATAATGCAGCACAAAATGGTTGACTCCAAGTATAGCTACTTTTGTGACTCCGTTTAACCAAAAGCTCTGCCGAAACAAACTTGCCGCCTTATAGGTAGTGCAAAAGAACCTCGCGTGCCTAACCTGGAGAAGGGTATTTTTTTTCATAGGTCAATTTTTCCTTAAACCAATACCTTCAGCCTCCTTGAAATGTTAACATTATGTGACACACGGAAGAGCAGTAAATTCTTTAATGTTGGCGAACCTTTAATTTTCGCGGCCTTTAATTTTGCAGAATTCAGTGGCTGCGGTTATGTCCTCTGTGACCGATTCGAGAAGAAATAGGGGCCACGAAGATAAGGGGGTTTTACTGTACATCGGAGGAAAGAGGAAGTCACTTATGTTTGTATGCAGGAGTAAAACCAACAACAACAATCATGGTGTCGACACTTTGTAAGCCTATCTGTGTCTATTGAATGATATCAATTTTGTTTTAGTTCGTTAAACATTGTTGCCTGTACATTGTGGGATGTCGTCTTCAACACGAGCAGTGGTTTTCTTCTCAAGCAGGCAGCATGGACGCGTGCCGCAGCACAACATAGTTCATTTGCAGGTGGTACCGCAGGTTGAAGGATGGTTGGCACAATATGGGGGAATCACAATTCAATGTTCTACCTCGGGCGTAGACAAGATTTGCCTATTCTAAATCATTTTGTCTAAAAATCTGGGATTTGCGATGAATGTACCCGCATGGTTGGAAGGGCCAGACAAGCCTTGTGAGCGCTTCATTTTCTAGCGTCTCAGTCCTGAACCCACTCACGCACCACATGTGTAGATGTTCCGATAGGTGGGAGCACTTATTTGGAAAATGGTGAATGGCAACTGTTATCTTTATCAGACTTCTGTATTATGGTCAAAGTTGGACTGCATATTTGCAATACTTTTTCTCACTTAAAGATATGTCATACTAAAATATGTAGAATAGCCAATGACAAAAAGAGAATGGCTGGGCGTCCTCCAGCACGTTCTTGTGCTTTTCACCCCACTTTGGACAAATGTGCTTGCTCCAGGCTCATGAGGCGCTGAAACGTCATCGAAGGTAGCAGACGGGCTGGTGGTGGAACAACGGAGACTTCTCCCTGCCTTTCTCATGCTGTCAGTGAGCGTGTACCTCTATACTCTAACTTAGCTTAACCTGCACAGAGCTGAGGAGAATAGGCTTGGTGAGTGCCCTTACTGCATATGCTGAGGTAGAAT